ATGTATATATATTTCTTTTATTTGAGTTTTCTATTTTAATGTTAATGGCACATTAGCGAGCTTAGTTGGATGCCCCTTAAATCCAACTAATGTGCCTGGGATATACTGCGAATATGGGATATATAAGCTCGGCACATTTATGGCAACGGGGCGTCGATAAGAGTTTATCAGCGCATAAAAGTATAAATAGCATTGCATTTATCATATCATACAGTTATTATGTTATTATATTCCTGATTAAAGTTGTTGAATCTAATATCTCGTTTCAATAATCAAAGAATATTAAATGCAAGATAATTATTTTGGCATCTCTTTTAAGTAGATTGCTCATATTAGCTTTTAGTTCTCCGAATACAATAAACTTTCATTTTAATTCATTAAGTTTATATTTCAATCAAATGTGCATACTAGCTTGCTAGCTCTACTTGTGCATTGGTATCTGAAACCAATTAAATTTGAAGACTTTGTGTTTATATTTTGCTCTATCATTCTGATGGATATTATTATATGGATATTATTACTAATGTTTAGTAAAATATTCTATTGAAAACTGAATTAATAATATAGATTACAAAAAATAGCCCTGAAAACTGTATTAAAAAAAATGTGACTCATTCAGACGGCTGAAGCGTGACTGTCCGATAAAACCTACTTAGTACCACATGACGTATGAGTAATTAGTTGCTGGACCTCGATAATTATTTGGATTTTGTGTCTGTTGCAGCACGAATCTGTGTTTACCTTAAACACACCAACATTTACGCATTTGACTTTATCAGACAATCAAATATTCACAGATGATGATCATTTTGATGGCCATTAGCACTGTGACACATCACAGTCACATACATATGTTCATATGCTCACAAATGGGGCGTTTATATTAGCATCACTAGTGCAAAAAGTAGCAACAACAACAACAACAACAACAACAGTAGCTATAACATTTGCTATAACCAGTATAGCTAATTGTTGACCCAATAATGGGAGACACACGCCATCGTTTGTAACTGTAAATAGCCACACGCGCGTGCTGTTTGCCAATGTGTATGTGTGTGTGTGTGTGTGTGTGTGTGGGAGCATGTACAATGCGTTCCGTTGCTCAATCACAATGCATGGCGACCATAGTCCATTGCCTTGCGCTGACCGGCGGTCGTTAGATGTCACACGTGCGGCATTCTTGACGTGCCGATAAACGGCATCGGCTATGTAAACTGAATATGGCAGACAGACCGATCACCGTCTATACCCTACACTTCCATCAAATGGGCATTTTCGGCGAGAGAGTCTCCTTACTTGAGAAATAAAAATATATTACTATAATATTAACAGAAAATATATTTTCCTAATAGTAGCCAGCGCTTTAGTTGTTAAGTTAGCTTATAATTTTAATTATAGTTAACTCTTAAAAATAAATAA